TAGGAGGTTTTTCCATTTCAATCTGCTTTTAATTTCCTTTTTCAGATTTTTAAATTTTTCATCATAGAGGTCCTTCAACATCTTTGGTTAGTTATTTGGTATTTTATTTTTTGAGGCTATTCCAAATGGAGTTGCTTTTCTGATTTCAGACTTGCTCTTCTCATGGTTGGCAGACAGAACAGCAACTGAGTTTTGTCAGTTAATTTAATACTCCGACAACTTGGAATGTTTCAGATCAGCTTAAAGTAACTTGGAAGAATAATCTATAGGATTCTTTAAATAAAAGATTATTTCATCTTTGCAAAGATGGATAGTTTCCCTTTTTCTTTCCCTATTTGGATTTCCTTGATGTTTGTCTCTTGCCTTATTACTCTTACTAGGAATTCAAGTACTACATTGAAGAGGTAGAAAAACCCTGGGAAGATGGTGATAGAAATTAGTCATTGGTGGACTATTAGCCAAGAAATGCCAAAGAAGGCCCATAACTACCCAAATCTAGGAGAGAAAAAGGATTCTAGCCTATGGGCCTCAGAATCTTGACACTTTTGACAGTTTGGTTTCAGTCTACCAGCATGCAGAACTGTGAAAAACAATTTGTTTTACTGTTTTAGATCACCATGTTTGGAGCCCTGTGTTAAAGCTACCAAATACAAACATTCATTTCTATTAACTATTTTGTAAAATGAATTCACACTTTGTTTCAATAGTTTCTTATAACCGAATGACAATTGCAGTTTTTGTGAAGAATACAGAGATGAATAGCGGACTATTCTGGATTATTTTTGGTGTCAACACGAGTTACCAGTAATGTGTACTTTGACCACTTGGTTAAGAGGGTGCTTTCCAAGTCTCATTAACACTTGGGGAAGGAAATTTATTTCCACTGTCTTGAGTGAAATGATGTCTGCACATAATATCAGTACACTTTTGTAATTATAATTACTCTCCTTACACATTTATGCTGCAATAATTTCATATTTTTATCAGGGTGACTAATGGGCATTTGGTATGTACTTTAGGTAATGAGAAAATATTCTTGCTCACTTTTTTCATTGTTACCCACTGGTAGATTCTTTCACATTGGGTCTGTGTCATGTTGCAGCGGTCATCTTGTTTTCTGTTGAGTAATATGTTAGTTTCTATCATTATAATGTAGTCATGATTCTTCCTCCAAGGCCTAGAATCATATTTTAAGGAGTTTGTGTTTCTTCCATCCTGTGCTTTTAGCTCCCTTATCAAATATTACTTCCTCCAAGGCCTAAAATCTCTTATCAAATATTACTTCTTCTAATACCTAGAATCATTTTTCCCCAATGACCTTCTTTCTATTTACTGAAGAATGCTATTTAGAAAACGATTATTTCCAGAACTGGCACTTTCTGGTTGGATTCTGAATCTGTTTGGAATCAGCCTCATCCTGATTTTGATGGTCTGTTTGCATTTTCTACTTTTTTTCTGGTCAAAACAAATGCTTTTCTCAGCCCATATGTTGTCCTGTCCCACGCATGGAATCACGATTTCTATTAAAAATTCTGGTGCTTCTCCTGGAGAGTTATATTGAGAAACAATGTGTATTCCTTGGCACAGTGATGTTGCTACTTCTAACATTTCAACTGAAATGCCTAGTGAATATACCTACATACATGAACACAGACATGTCTTTATTTTAATTGTTGTTCTTTTAATAACCAATATTCTTTTTTATATGTCTTTTTTCTTTTTTTAATTTTTATTTATTTTTTATTGTGAAAATACTGTACAGAGGGGTTACAATTACACGGGCAAGATAATGAGTACATTTCTTATCAAGCATTGTAGCCTCCTCCTTTGTTTCCCCTTCCCATCCCTTCCCATTGTCCCCCCCATCGCCCCCCATTGTCCCCCCCACCCCCCCACTCGAAACTGCCTGTACCCCCCCACCAAAGTTGTAAAGTTTGTTTTGACATAATAACTTGTGCTTCTCATTGTTGCAACGGGTCTACCTGTATCCTTATTTAATTGACTTGTTTTTCCCCTTCCCCTCCACAAATTATCAGACATCAAATACAGTGAAAGCAGGGGTTATACTGTGGGGGAGGGACATACAAAGCAACAAAGAAATAATCTTGTAAATGCGTTAGAAACAATCTCATGATAGAAAAAAACATTTGAATACATATCTTAGGGTTCATTTCCTTAACATCACCATATCTGACCTTTTCTGCTTGACTCAGACATATACTAGATATTGCAAATAAGGGAAACCATGGGACCTATGTTTCTTTGGGTTTGGCTTATTTCACTTAATATAATTTTTTTCCAAGTCTTTCCATTTCCTAACAAATGGGGCAATGTCATTCTTTCTGATGGAGGCATAGAATTCCATTGTGTATATATACCACATTTTCTTGATCCATTCATCTACTGAGGGGGATCTGGGTTGGTTCCAGATCTTAGCTATAGTAAATAATGCTGCAATAAACATAGTTGTGCTGGTAGCTTTAGTGTGGTCTTGTTTGTAAACATTTGGGTAAATGCCCAAAAGTGGGATTGCTGTGTCATAGGGGAGCTCTATGTGGAGTCTTTTGAGGAACCTCCACACTGCTTTCCAAAGTGGTTGAACAAGTTTACACTCCCACCAACAATGCAGTAAGGTTCCCTTCTGTCCACATCCCCTCCAGCATCTGTTGTTATTAGAGTCTTGATTTTTGCCATTCTAACTCGGGTGAGGTGCTATCTTAATGGTTTTTTTTGATTTGCATTTCTTTTATGGCTAGTGATGTTGAACATTTCTTCATGTGTCTATTGGCCATCCTTCTTTCTTCTTCAGAGAAGTTTCTCAAGTGTTTAGCCCACTTATTTATTGGGTAGTTGTTTCTTTGAAGATTTGTTGTTGGGGATTTAATTTTTTGAGTTCCAGGTATATTTTAGATATGAGACCCTTGTTCATTGTATGGCTAGTGAAGATCTTCTCCCAATCCTTGGGCTTTCTATTGATTTTGCTAGCTATGTCCTTTGCCATGCAGAAGCTCTGCAACTTCATGCAATCCCATTTGTCCAACCTTTCTTTGATTTGTTGTTAATCACCAATATTCTATCCTTTTATTTCATGACTATACACATGTTTCTCAACCGTGTCCAGCTGAGTGCTGACTCAGTGCACAATATGCCTGACCATTTTGTACACAGGGACATACAGAGCCTTTTGTGCCGGTTAGGGTTGAACCTCGGTGCTGGGGCTGTCGTTGGCATCTCATGCTAGGATGTTTAAGCAGGCTTCCTGGGCTGGACAGATGTAAATCCTCCTGTCTGGGTGAGGGCATCCCACAAGGAAAAGCACAGATGGGTTTTTGGAGTTGGCTAGGCACAGATCCCTGGCACCATGGGTGGGGGTATTCATGTAAAGATGCCTGGGCTGGCTTTAAAGGATGTCTGATCAGAGTGCCCTTGGCACCCAATGCTGCTGGAGGGGCCAAGTGTGGGTCAGTGCTGCCCCACTGGTGCTGTGGGTGGCCAGCAGTATCTCTTTTATGGATGCATGGATGGACAAAGCTGTGTATAGATCCCTCAAGTAGAATGTTGACAGCATCACGTGTGGGGTTGCATGCGTGGCCTGTCTACTGGCTGATGTTAGAGGTCTCGCTGAGGCCTTTTCCAGGGTGAGAGGCCATGATGTGTCTTGAGGTGCTATGGCTGTTCAGCTCTAAAAGGGATCTCCCAAGATCCTTCTCAAAGTTAGGGTCCCCACTGAGAACAATACTGGGACTCAAAGCCCTGCCTGTGACTCAGCCCTGGTGGCTGGGTTTGGGGGTAGAATTCTGAGATTGAGGTTTTCCAGACTGGTTCTGGTTCCAGGATGCACTAGCTGGAGGCTTGATTTTTCCCTCAGCCCTGAGGGCGAACCTCACTGGGCAGGACTCTGTTTTGAAACACCACCTTTATGTTCTTCTCTGTATCTGTTCCTGATGGTATAAATTCCTATTTATGAAGGGGGTGGGCTTCGCTTGCAGCCTTAGACACACCTTTTGTCCCAGGCCTATAGGTTAAGTCCTCAGGCAAGAGTTTGGGCCAAGACTGGTATATTCTCTGAATAAGAGCCCCAGGCTTTGTCATTTGTTCTGGTTCACCCATGCCCAATGTCAGTCAGAAGCTGAATCCTCTCTTGCCTAGTATGAGCTGAGACTAATGCCTTCTGTGAGTGCCCAGTAACAAACTTTGTCCCTTGACTCAAACTTCCTCAAGTGCAAATTCCTGACACAATCTAAAGGAGTTAAATCCTCACATTGCTGGTGCAGGCTGAGATCGATGTAGTTTCTGGTTTCTGAGCTCAGAATTATGTCCGTTTGTTTTCTCTGCCACCTTCCGATGCCCTATACCTGTGTCTGACAGTGGGGTTGATTTCCTTGCCAGATCTTCTCTCTGGCCATCTGCTAGAAGGGCGAGGAGGAGGAATCTTATGACTCAGGGTGTTTGGTGTTTGCATCATCTTCTTCCTGGGTTCCACCTTTGAAGTTGTTTCTCTATTGCATGGAAGCTGCTATTTTACAGGCAGCTGCTCCAAGCAGAAACCTGAATTGGATGAAGGTCACTGTTGAACAGAGGGATGGGTGGGGATCTACATCAATCTGATGGCTGCTCCAGTTGTAAGGTTTTCCAAAGCAGAGGTCTGAACTGAGTGTGTTTTGGTTCTGAGTGGGCTCTTCATTGAGCATATGGCCTCATCAAGGTACAGTCTGCATAAAGCTGTGCAGCCTGTGTTCTGGCTGTCTGTGATAGGACCTGGTTATGTGGACTTAATGTTATGCCGATTTTTCTCTTGTACCTCAGTTAGAAGTTTGATGTTTTTTGATTGGCACTAGGCTCTGATTGCATGACTTCCTTTGGCATCTACACTTGAGCTGGATTTTCAGGTTGGAGTTTTGTATTTCTTACTAAGCAGACAGAGCTCTGGTATTGCCCTGTCTCTAGTCTGCCATCTTGAATCTGTGCTACCAATTTGCTTGTTTATGTTGCAGAAAAAGTTAGTTAAGTCTAAATTTTGACTCATTGTTTTGAAAAGAATAAAACTTTTGAAGCACATACTTGAAAGCTTCTTTTACCTGCTGGTTTCTTAGACTATAAATGAAAGGGTTCAATAAAGGGGCCACAGAGGTATACAGCAGAGCTACTCCTTTTGTGAAAGTCACCCTTTCCTTTGCTGAAGTTTTTATATAGATAAAGATACAACTCCCATAAGTAATAGAGACAACAACCATATGTGAGGAGCAGGTTGAAAAGGCCTTTTTCCGCTGTTGGACAGAAGGAAACTTGAGGATGGTCCTGATGATGAATGTGTAAGAGAGAATCACAAAAAACAATGTGATGAAAAGTGTCATCAGACAAAAGACAAAGGCTAACAGTTCTATTAACCTTGTATCTGTGCAAGAGAGCTGCAGGACAGGAGAGGCATCACAGAAGAAGTGATCAATCTTTGTGGACGCACAGAAATCCAACTGGAGTCCAAATATGATGGGTGGAATTATGTTCATGAATCCAATACCCCAGGTGCCGAGCACCAGCTGGTAGCACACTTTGGAGCTCATGATGACCGGGTAATGCAAGGGTTTGCAGATGGCCACGTAGCGGTCATAGGACATGACTGCCAGGAGGTAAAACTGGATAACTCCTATTAGAAAAAACAAGAATAGCTGAGCTGCACAAGCAGAGTAGGAAATTCTTTTGTCTCCAGTGAGAATGCTGGTCAAGAACCGTGGGATGCAGACTGTTGTAAAACAAACTTCTAAGAAGGCAAAATTTCGAAGGAAGAAGTACATGGGAGTCTTGAGGCGGGGGTCCAGCAGTGTGAGCAGGATGATGACAAAGTTCCCCATCAGGCTCAGGATGTAATTCAAAAATAGAAACAGGAAAACCACAATTTGTAGCTGAGGATCATCTGTCAGTCCCAGCAAAATGAACACTACCTCCTGTGATCTGTTCTTCATTTCATTGGTTTTGTCAAATCTATGGAAAGTAAAAACAGATATTTACTTTTCTTCCCTTTCTGGCCTGCAATGTGCCACTCTCAGAAACTCACCAAGCAGGAGTATTTTCAGAAATCATCTTAGAGCTCATCACAACAAACATGGTTTCCACTCTATCAGTATATTTATAAAGTTTTCACTAGTCCAAAATCGAGTCTTACTTTTCAATATAAAAGAAGCATGGTAGTCTTTTGAAATACAGGTGCTTGATTGCACTAATATATAACATACATTTTGCACATTATATCTCAATAGGCTCTTCAGGTATATTTTTATAATTTTCTCCCTTCATTGATACCTAAAGTATATATTGCCAGTTGAGTGACACAATGGTTACAGCAATGACATTAGTTGTAGTAGCTACAATGATGACCAATTTCAGGAAAATTTTAAGAAGGAAAAGTGACAAAGGAAAAAGCACAAGAAGCTACTTAAATGAGCATTCCCTATGGTGAGGACAGTAATAAAAATTCTGAAGTTGAACTTAGAAAATAATTGAGAAGGAACAAGCAATTACAATTGTCAGGGATGGCTTAGGAGTCATACCTGCTATGATGAACGTGATGTCTCTTGCATGGATTCTTCTAATCCTCCCCTTATAAGGAAAATCTCTGGATAAATAACTGGAATCTGTACCATTTTAGGTACAACTAGAAAAGTGATATTTGTGGCACTTGTGACACGTACAGTCATGTTTTACAGATCATTCTGTTAGTTCAGACAAACAGTACTCTGGTGCACCTTGAATTGACCACATTTGTAGCATAAGTAGCAACATGCCTGCCTGGAACAACATGGTTCAAACTTTATATTTTCTAACAAAATTGTAGTTTCACAAGTGTAACAAGTGTTCAGAATTTTATCTGAATGATTACAAGATCTATCACATTTAGAAAATGTTCGTTTGCTTTCTTACATAATGTGCAAAAGTCAGGATATATAGTTTCTCAGTTAATATTAGAAATTGTAAAGTATAACCCAAATTATACATGAACATAAACTTTGATTGAAAACACATAAGAGGGCATCTGTGGCTCACACCTGTAATCCTAGCTACTCAGGAGGCTGAGGTCTGAGGATCACAGTTCAAAGCCAGCCCAGGCAGAAAAGTCTGTGAGACTCTGATCTCCAATAAAGCACTAGAAAACCAGAAGTGGCACTGTGGCTCAAGCAGTAGACCACTCGCCTTGAGGTGAGGAGCTGAGGGACAGTGCCCAAGCCCAGAGTTCAAGCCTCACAACTGACAATAAATAAATAAATAAATAAAATAAAAGAGGGCAAGTCTGTGCCTAGATTGGTCATTAGGATTTATACGTAATACTTTATTCACCAAATCAAAACATCAAACTACCAAATGTTTTAGTGATTTTATTTTATAATTATTTGTTTTCAGTTATTTTTATCTAACAAATAGAGAAGATTTTGCTTTTCTCATGGAGATGCCTAAGTTTCAATTTTGATATTCTTTTTTTTTTTTGGTCAGTCGTGGGGCTTGAACTCTGGGCCTGGGTGGTGCCCCTCAGCTCTTCAGCTCAAGGCGAGCACTTAATTTTGATATTCTTGACCCAGATGCCACTGCCTTCTCAAGACAAAATTTCAATATGAAAAATTTGGCAATACCAATGCAGATAGCAAAGACAATTTTATTATTAAAAAAAAACAACTCCATGGGCTAGGAAGGTGGTTCAGTGGTAGAGTGCTTGCCTTGCATGCATGAGGCCCTGGGGTCTATTCCTCAGCACCACATAAGCAAAAAAAGCAGGAAGTGGCGCTGTGGCTCAAGTGGTAGAGCGCTAGCCTTGAGCTGAAGAGCAGAGGGACAGCACCCAGGCCCAGAGATCAGGCCCCACGACCGACAAAAAAAAAAACCCAAACAAACAAGAAACAAACAAAACAAAAACAAAAACAAAAACAAAACTCCATGAAACATAAAATGTTATTGTAAAGAGAAGTATATATGGGATATGAGTTCTGGTCATGTTATTAAAAGGGGAACAAAGTATATAGGAGAAAATAAGATCATGGAAGCCTTAAGAAAAGAATAAGTATTTTTAAATTTAGGTAAAGAAAAATAAAGAATTATAATCATTGGAGATAATTTTATGAACATGTAAGTAAGCAAAAGGGAAGAACCTTAAAACTAGTGTCTACTCCCATAACTAGTGTATAAACTTTGACAATTAAGTGATAAGAATATGACTATTTTTAGTCCACATAATCTAAATGAAAACATTTGAAAGTACATGATCAATTCAGACATACAATGAATGGTAGGCATGCAGTTGAGACAAATTGTGTGTATTACACATAACCCGATTAGAATACAGGTACTAAAATGTGAGGTAAAGTGGCAATTAAGTAAGAAATGATAGTCTTGTGTCTATTGAGACTATATATCATCAGTATATTCCAGCTTAAAATATAGTATATGGGCAAGTGAAATTAAAGATAAAAATAATACATTGTATTCAGAACAAAGGCTGAGATTAAAAGAGGCTCTTTCCAGAAATCATGACTTTACAGTTACACTGATTCAAAAAATTTCTTAGGCAAGAATTTATACAAATTGTAAATTATACAATTTCTAGACTTTATATTACAAGACACATTTCCTCAAAAGATTATTGATTCCTCCAAGGAAATTCTTTCTTAGGTGTTTCTTTATCATCACACTTAATTAACTTTGTTTTGAGATGAAAAATATGTAAGACTATGTTTGCTGAACTGAGGATAATACATTTATTTTCTTTACCTAAAGCACAAAGTATTCTTTAGCAAAAATAAAGCCAATATTGGACATTAGGAATATCATAGGCATGAAAAGGCTTTTCATGTCTTCTACATGTCTTATTTGTGGTTTTCAGCATTATCTATCTGTAAAATAGAAAAACAGTAAAAGCAATCCATTTATTATACAGAGATTTAGAAATACTTGCATTGTAACACTTCACTTACCATCCTTATAAGGAGCAAGCATCGATGACCCATTCTTCTCTGGGGAAATTTATTCTTCTCTGAAATACATGAGTAGTTTAAATATTCTCTTTGAGAAACTATTTTTGACTAATTCATTTCATGCTGTGACAAAAGTCTATGAAGTTACCCACTTTGCTACACATCACTGCGTTCTCGGATCTAAAGAAGCACTGTAAATCCCACTAAATATGACCTATAGTACAATAAATTGACCTTCTCTTGGAGGATGTAAGCCTCAGGTCCCACAGAAAATTATTTAACAGAAACATGAATTCTCCAGGTAGCTGAGCCTGAGTGAATCATTTCCCAAGGGATTACAAAGTACATGATACCGAAGTTGCCTTTACAGGAATAAACAAGTGGTTTATCACAGAGTAACTCATTTATTCAGCAATGTGATGAAAATACCATGATTAATTGTTGATAATGATTATAGAAATTGTGTGAAGAGTAGTTGTGAAGGCAAAGTGCTACCTTTCCAATGTCTATGTCAATCTAAAGCTATTCTAGAATTAAGGTTTTCACAAATAAAATTGAACATGATGGAATGTTTACTGGTATTTAGTAGATTGAACAAAAATATAGCTATTTTGACTAGATTGAATAATACATGCTTCAAATTTTATCTGTCGTAAAATGGGACCTTATGTAAGTCAGTTCTGTGCAGGTGTGATTGGTTCAAAAGTAGCCAAAGTATAATAGAGAAATGCTCATACAGAGGTAAGAAAATCAAGGGAAGATGGAGATAGAAACTAGTAAATTGTGGGCCAATCAGCCAAGGAATGTCATCAAGTACATTTGGCTACCCAAACTTAGGAGAGGAAAAGAATTCTACCCTGTAGGCCTTACACTCTTGAAACTGTTGACAGTTTTGTTTCAATTTTCAGCACATAGAATTGTGAAAGAATTTTTATTTCACTGTCATTGTTCCATAAGTCAGGTAATGACTACATTTCTTTTTGAACCTCTTCCTTGTCTTCTTCCAGTTTTTTCCTTTCCAACCCCTTTCTACTATAATTTGTATACTTCATTTTCAACATAGTCTTTATTGAGTAACGTGACTGAATTAGTTCACCCTTAGTCCCACAACTTCTGTGCTTCCCTTTCCCCTTGCAAAATCAGATAAACTTACATACAAGACAAAAGGCACAGAAATAATGTAACAGCATAAAAGCAAAAAAAACCATGGAAAGTAAAATAAGAGAACTTCACATTTTTATTTCTTGGAGTTCATTTTAATAAGCATCATTTTATATGACCATATGCGTATACCTATTGAGCCTTTGGGATCCTCTCCTAAGAATATTCTCCTTTGGTGTCACTGTGTGAATGTTTAGAGTCCAGTTAAATTTATCATGTCAAAGTGTAATTCTTTTGTCTTTTACTGTCCATTGGATGTACTTGCAGATTTACAGCCACATTCTAATTATTACAAATGAGGGAACCCATGCAACCTATGTTTCTTTGGATCTGGCTTACTTCATTTAATATATTTTTTCCAAGTGTTTCTATTTCCTCATGAATAGGGCAAAATCATTTTGATGGAAGCATAGAATTCTATTGTGTATATTTACTACATTTTCTTGATCCATGTGTCCATTGAGTTGCATTTGATTCTGTATTTTGGCTATGGTAAATAATGCTGTGATGAACATGTTTCTGCTGGTAGCTTTAGTGTGGCCTTGTTTGTACTCTACTAGATAAATGAGATTGCGTCAAATGAAAAAGTTTCTGCATGGCAAAGGACATACTTAACAAGCTAAATAGAAATCTCACAGTATTAGCGATTTTTTACCAGCTATAGATCAGACAATGGCCAAATATACATACAACTCAAAAAAGTAAACTCTTATGGAGCCAGGCACTGGTGACTCACACCTTAATCTTAGCTACTCAGGAGGCTGAGATATGAGGATTGCAGTTCAAAGCCAGCCCGGGCAGGAAAGTCTGTGAGACTCTCATCTCCAATAAACCACCAGAAAACTGGAAGTGGGGCTGATGCTCAAGTGGTAGGGTGCCTTGAGATGAAGAGCTGAGGGACAGCCTCCAGGCCCAGAGTTCAAGACCCATGACCGACAAAAAAAACAACAAAAAACAAACAAACAACAAACAAAAAACTTTTAGAGAACTGCATTCTAACCTATATCATTTTTCAGGGTGTATGTCTGGGACTATTAGGTGTGTCTGCCAAGGGTAAAGAAGATTGAATATTGTTAAAATAGATTATTTGCAACTATGTAAACAGAAATGATGCAAACAAAGAAACCTGTTAGGGGACACTAATTTTCAGAGGGAAAGGTGGTGTAGGGACTGCAATACAGGGGTAAAAATTCATTGAAATACATTGTAAATATGTGTAAAGGTGTAGCAATGAAATCTGTCCTCCATATTATATACCTGATATAATCCAGTAAAGCAATGATTAAGTAAAATTTAGTCTTTCATTAATATTTCCTGCCTCTTCTCATCAGAGATCTAACTTGAAATGGTTAATATAAATCCTTAATATTAGTTTCATAAATATCCAATCAGCAGCAGTTGGATTTTGGCTGTCTCAGTTACTCAAATAATAGTTGAGTGATGGAGCTGGTTGCACTTAAGTGCAAGTAAATTTCTGATTTAATTTTAAACAAAGTAGAGTGAAAAGGGATCAATAGAATATAGACTATGGCCCTCCACAGGACTCTTTTTTTCTGCCAAGGAGAATTTCTTCAGCCTCTCTGTCTGGAGGATGGTAATTGAGGAGTAGAAACCCCAAGACTTAGGAACAACCTCTCATGTATGACAGTTTACTTAAAAGTATATTGTGGGGCTGGGAAGGTGGCTCATATTGGAGTGCTTGCTTTGCATGCATGAGGCCTTGGGTTCTATTCCTCAGCACCACATAAGCAGAAAAAGGCAGAAGTGGCGCTGTGGCTCAAGTGGTAGAGTGCTAGCCTTGAGCTGAAGAGCTGAAGGAGAGTGCCCAGGCCCAAAGTTCAGGCCCCAAGACTGACAGAAAAAAAGTATATTGTGAAGAAAATCAGATTTTCAGGCACTATCGATTCAAGGAATTAAGTTTTCATACTGATTAACCAAACTATTTGGCCTTGATTTGTTTTATAGAATGAATATATCATGGATTTGAACTACACTCCCAAAGACAAATAAATGAATAAACAAGACAAAAGAACAGAAAAAAAGAACAGCAATGAAGAAAAATCCTCATTTCCACTCCCTGGAGTTAATTTTGAGAAACATAATTTTATATGATCAGATAGACATAAGCATTGCACCTTTGTGTCGCCCACTGAAGAGTATGCATCCGCCTTTGGTCTCAATGTGTGTGAATGTATAGAGATTTGTAAAATTTATCATGTCCCAGTTATTTTAAATCTAATTTAGATCTGCCTATGAGAGAAAACATGGGTCCTTTGTCTTTCTGAGCTTGGCTTATTTTACTTAGCATGACTTGTTTTAGGTCCATCCATTTCCCTGAAACTGAAATGATATTTTCCTTTCTACTGGCTGTGTAAAATTCCATTGTGTACAGGTACGACATTTTTTTGGATCCATTCATCTATTGTAGGGTATCTGAGCTGTTTCTGTATCTTGGCTATTGTAAATTGTGCAGCAATGAACATGGATGTTGGAAGTTTTTATGATATTCTCACTTGTGATGTACTGTGTAGATGCCCAAGAGTGATATGGCTAGGTCCTAGGGATGATCTATGTTTCGTCTTTTTTTTAATTTTAATTTTAATTTTTTGTGAACATACTGTACAGAGGGGTTACAATTAAATGGGCAAGATAATGAGTACATTTCTTATCAAGCTTTGCAGCCTCTTCCTTTGTTTACCCTTCACATCCCTTCCCAGCCTCCCCCCACCGGCCCCCCACCCAATCCTCCCCCTCCCACCCTTGCACCAAAGTTATAAAGTTCATTTTCGAAATGACAACTTGTACTTCTCATTGTTGCAACAGGTCCACCTGTATCCTTAAACGACTTGTTTTTCCCCTTCCCCTCCACAAATTATACCGACATCAAATATAGTGAAAGCAGGGGTCAACTGTGGGGGAGGGACGTACAAATCAACTAAGAAATAATCTTATAAATGCGTTAGAAACAAATGCATGAAAGAAAAAAACATTAAAATACATATCTAAGGGTTCATTTTCCTAACATCACCTTATCTGACCTTTTCTGCTTGACTCATACATATACTAGATATTGCAAATAAGGGAACCAATGGACCAATGTTTCTTTGGGCTTGGCTTACTTCACTTAATATAATTTTTTCCAAGCCTTTCCATTTCCTAACAAATAGAGCAATGTCATTCTTTCTGATGGAGGCATAGAATTCCATTGTGTATATATACCACATTTTCTTGATCCATTCATCTACTGAGGGGCATCTGGGTTGGTTCCATATCTTAGCTATGGTAAACAATGCTGCAGTAAACATAGTTGTGCTGGTAGCTTTAGTGTGGTCTTGTTTGTAAACATTTGGATTAATGCCCAAAAGTGGGATTGCAGGATCATAGGGGAGCTCTATGTGAAGTCTTTTGAGGAACCTCCATACTACTTTCCAAAGTGGTTGAACAAGTTTACACTCCCACCAATTGGGGTGAGGTGGTATCTCAATGTTGTTTGGATTTGCATTTCTTTTATGGCTAGGGAGATTGAGCATTTCTTCATGTGTCTATTGACCATCCTTCTTTCTTCTTCAGAGAAGTTTCTCTTTAAGTCTTTAGCCCACTTATTTATTGGGCAGTTGTTTCTTTGAGGATATGTTTAGTCTTGTGAGAAACATCCACACAGTGGTTCAGAGTGGTGGTCCTAGTTTACATTCCCACCAAGCATGTAGAGTTCTTTTTCCCCAACATTCCCATCAACATTTGTTGTTGTTTGAATTCATAATACTGACCAATCTAACTGGGGTGGGATGGAACTGAGTTGTTTTGATTTGCAATTCCTGTCTGACCAGGAATGATGGTATGTTTCTTTGCCATTCTTATCCCTTCTTCTGAGAAGTCTCTCCTTAATTCCTTTGGTATGCCTACTTTTTAATGAAATTCTGAAAAAGCAAGAGTAATCTCCTGTGCTTGATAAAGCATCAGTAAATATTTTGCTTCAATGGAGGATGGAGCTGGGGTGGGGACATGGTCTGACTGGAAAGAGCCAAAGAGAACAATTTGCCATGATGTTTTTTTTCATACTACATAGGGGTACACATATTTCCAAAGTACTACTTTCCAGCATCGTTTCTTTTTGTATGTAACATATGGGTTATTAATTTGGTGAACATAGACAAAAGCACAGTAGATTAGGAAATCATAATTCAGTAAAAAATCTAAAATTTCCCAGACCATGATATAAAGGAATATTTATATATAACTTGGTTCATGTCTAGGATTCAATGTCTGCAAAGTAATATGAGCAATTGCATTTACAGCCTGTACTTCCATGGATTTTAGGCAATACAACTAATTTTATTTACATACAAATCAATCCTAATTATTATAATGCTGCAGGAGAAAATTTCCTTTAAAACTATAAACCCTTTTGCACACATGGTAGCTCTCATCAGAATATCCATGAATATAATTTTCTTCATTCATTTTTCAATGTTTATTATGAGTGATTCTTCCTCTGGGCAGTTTACATTCCTCCTAACATTCATTCAGATTTCCTTCCTCCTTTTTATCTCAGTCAACACTGCATCACCCCATAATGATCATCTTCTGTGTTTGTCTAGGACCAATTTAACAATTCAAAATTATAGAAGCAAATGTAAAATGATTAGCAATGACCACAAATATTAGACATCGCATATTCACTGAATCAAGCATTTGCTACATAGAATTATTATTCATTAGAATAATATTAAAGATTTACTATTTAATATGAGAGTTTTAATAGTGTTAATTGTTAACTTATTGACATGGACTTATCGTTTGAGAGAAATGAATAAGGTAGTTGAAGGCAAAGGTAAACTTTTACTTTTATTTGCAGTGAGAGGTATGCTTTAATACTCTTAATTCCAACACAGTTTGAGCCTAGAGGTCCAAAGACAGAAGGAAGAGCATAAAGCCATTTGTAAACCTAATATGATATACCCAAGTGAGAAGTAGCACATATCGTAAGTAATATAATACATGATTGAACTCCATTTTCTCATTACTGTCGCAACATATGTTATTTCTGTCTGCATTGTGTCTCATTGTTTTGAAAAGTACAAAACCTTTGAAGCAAATATTTAAAAGCTTCTTTTACCTGCTGGTTTCTTAGAGTATAAATGAAAGGGTTCAGTAAAGGGGCCACAGAAGTATAGAGCAGAGCTATGATTTTGATGAAAGTCACCCTATCCTTTGCTGAAGTTTTCAAATACATAAAGATACAACTCCCATAAGTAATAGAGACAACAACCATGTGTGAGGAGCAGGTGGAAAAGGCCTTTTTCCGTTGTTGGACAGAAGGGAATTTTAGAATGGTTTTGATGATGAATGAGTAAGAGAGGGCCACTAAGGAAAATGTGAATAAAAGTGTGGACAGACATAATATAAAAGCCAACAATTCGAAGAAATGGGGTGCATCACAAGCGATCTGCAGGACTGGGGAAATGTCACATAGGAAATGATCAATTTTTCTTGATGCACAGAAATCCAATGAGGATGCCAAAATGACAGAAGGAATGTTGTACAGGTAGCCGATTAGCCAGCAGCTGAACACAAGTGTGTAGCACACTTTGGAGCTCATGATGACCGGGTAATGCAGGGGTTTGCAGATGGCCACGTAGCGGTCATAGGACATGACTGCCAGGAGGTAAAACTCTGTAACAGCTAGTTGAAAATGAAAGAAGAATTGAGTTGCACAGCCATTGTAGGAGATTGTTTTGTCTCCTGTGAAAATGCTGGTCAATAACCGTGGGATGCTGACTGATGTAAAGCAAATTTCAAAGAAGGCAAAATTTCGAAGGAAGAAGTACATGGGAGTCTTGAGGCGGGGGTCCAGCAGTGTGAGCAGGATGATGACAAAGTTCCCCATCAGGCTCAGGATGTAGTTGACAAAGAGAAACAGGAAAGTCACAACTTGTAGCTGAGGGTCATCTGTCAGTCCCAGCAAAATGAACACAATCTCCTCTGATTTGTTCTTCATTGCTTTTCTATCAAATCTACAGAAAAATAAAAACTAGAATCATACATAATAAATACCTGTTTGTCCTTTCCAGCCATACAGCATATCATATTCAGAAACATAACATTTTCACAAATCGATTTAAGCCTTTTACAATTGATATATTTTTCATGCTATCTGTATGTTCCTATGGATGCAGGTATTTTCCACTAGCTCAACCTTGAGTTTGTCTACTGAACAATTTACAGAAGACATACAGATAAACATTTGAGAGACAGGCTGTCAGTTTGATTATTGTTACTCTCTGAATCAGATTTACAAATATTTCATCCAAACAAGCTGTTAAAATCCTAGGTATTTTTTTTATTTTCAGAGTAATCTAACAGGGCTTCTGCATTGAAGACTGTAATATATTTATTTTCTATGTCTCAAGCCTAAATTATTCTTTACCAAAAAGACTAAGTATAAACATGTGACCATATAAGATGATACTAAGTGAAATGAACCCCAAGATAGGGACACAGAGGTTTTATCTTTGTCGTGGTTTGATTTTAATATACTATATGATTTTTTGTTTCTTTTGTATGTTCTTCTCCAATGGCAAAGCTGCTGTTTTCACTGTATTTAATTCTGTGCCCTGCATCTTGTATATACATTTTTTTCCTAATTTGGGGATGGGGAAGGGAAAGAATAAAAGGCGGAAACAAGGATACAGGTTGATTCATTGTAACAATGAGGTGTATAAGACACTATGTTGAAAAAGAACTTTACAACTTGGGGAGGAGGGAATGGAGGAGTTTGGGAGGTAAGGGATAGTAGGGGAAAAACAAAGGAGGTGGGTAATAATGCTTGACGGGAAATTTACTCATGTAACTGAAACCCTTCTGTACACTATCTTTACAATAATACATATACATATAAATAAAAAAGAAAAAAATACGCATGGAAGAACTAAAAGGTAACTGAGAGCGAGTGGTATTTCTGGTGTTACACGGTTAACTTTACAGAGAGTGATATTTGGCTAAGGATATGGCTCTTCTCTGCTTAAAAAAGATGAAGAGAAAAGGTAGTGTAGTCACCTAAAATTCCACAGGACAAGGTGATATTTAGGCACAACATTATTTGATTGGAAGCCATACTTACATGCCTCCTATCTCATCATCTCTGCTAAAATGATGGAAATATTGAAAGAATGATATTTCTTAAGTTCAGGTAATTGTAAAAATGTCAATTATAAAATGGCCTCATTTTAACAAATAATCTAGTGGTAACATTTGTATGCATGAATAATTGCATAATATTGATTTATTTTAATTTAATTGTAAAGATGCTGTACAGAGGGGTTACAGTTACACAAGTAAGGTAATGAGTACATTTTTTTGTTGAGCATTGTTACCTGCTCCTTCATTTTTCTCTTACTATCCCTTAATATTTAAACTACTATTTTTTTCTTTTTCTTTTTTTTCCTTAGGCATCACACATAATATGTATTCACACAGCACACCCAGTATGGAGAAACAGCCTAAATCACATGAGATCATCTAATCATAGATTGAGTAATGCAATTACACTGTATTTCACTTCAGTTTTTTGTTCTTTTGGGTCAGTCCTGGGGATGGAACTCAAGGCCTGGGGGCAGTCCTGAGATTTTTATTGCTTTACTACTTGAGCTACAGTGTCATATCTGGCTGTTTGATGGTTAACTGGAAATAGGAGTCCAATGGACTTTCCTGTTCAGGCTGGCTTGAAATCACAGTTCTCTGATCTCAGCCTGCTAAATAGTTAGGATTAAATTGTGAGCCACTGGTGTCTAGTTTGTTTTCATAGATATTAATTTCATGAAATGGAATGGTTTTTCAGCTTAAAATCATCATTGTGCCTTCTAATAAGTAACAATAATCTTACACTATTATCTCCAAGTCAAAATGCAAAAAGACATTAAAAAATCACTAACCCTTTAATAGTTTAACAGCTGTCTTTAGTAGGTTGCCTGCAGAAATTTGGAAAAATCTTCTGTACTTCAATACTTCATTCATGATCCCTGTAAAGAGAATGGCCCATTCTTCTCCCAAACACTTCATTCTACCTTGAAATATATAAGTGGTTTAAGTGTTCGCATAGAAATATTATTTTTGACTAGTTTATTTCATGCTGCTACAAAATTTATCAGAATCTATGTTGTTGCAAAATCTGTCTTCATTTACAACATTCTCTTCTCTGGAATGTTACAAACTCACTGGACGTGACATTAGTAAGTATGCAATTTGCCCTTCTCTTGATATAATGGAAGATATAAGCCTCTGTGTTTGACAGGAAATTATTTAACAAGGATGAAGAATTCTCTGGGTAACTGAACATCATCTCCTAAGGGAATCCCAAATAGTATGACTCATAAATGGTTTCTATAGAAATAGATCAGCATACACTTGCATACACATGCACATACACACCGAGCTTTTTTTCCTTTAATTATGCTTCCTGAAAAGTCACTGCATTGCTATGTTTGCCTACCACACACCAGACTTTTGAAATGACAGTTTCAGGGCTCATGGTTTAGAAGAAAAGAGAAGGATGTCCTACTCTGAGAATATATGATTCTAGACCTATGTCCCCTGCTGAATGTGTTACAGTACAAAGATTTTCTTTATTTCTGTTTTATTTGCTGAAGAATATATCTTGTGAAACACACAATGTCAATTCTCAAAGACATTTCAAGTCTTCATTCAGCTGCAAAGTTCTCCTTTGAGAGGAGATGGATGGTAGTTTGTTTAATTATTCTCTTGTGTACCAGCTATCAGATTAGCTCCAATTGGGAGAATTAGAAATAGTCCAGTAAATGAAGCCTACAGATGTATTTTGCCACAAATATTCATTAAAGTTAACTTTTCCTTTGGAGAAGATTAGGGTTTTAGAATAACTTACTTAAAATGAACTTACTGAATCCAAATAAATCCTATTGTTTTTAAAGCAATGGATAAATTATTTTTACATGCATTTTATCAATTTACATCTGCAATGTATTACAGTTTTTATTTCCCAACCTTTGAATGGCAGTACAATTTACTTACTTACTTATTTGTTTGTTTATTGGTCTGTCATGGGGCTTAAACTCTGGGTGTGGGCACTGTCCCGGAGCTCTTCAGCTCAAGGCATGTGCTCTACCACTTGAGCCACAGCCTCACCTCTGGTGTTCTAGTGGTTAATTGGAGATAAGAGTCTCATGGATTTTCTTGCTTGGGCTGCTTTTTAACCACGATCCTCAAATCTCAGCCTCCTGAGTAGCTAGGAATACAGACATGAACCATTGGAGCCCGGCTAGTACAATTTACTTGTATGATTATTGAGTGCTTATGAATTTTTATTGTATCCTGTACAGGAGCTGTGCTAATGTCTGTATTGTTTCAGTTTTAGCATGTTTGTTGCTGAAGGAGGTACAGAGTAGGTTTCTTCACATTTTCAAAATGTCCCTAAATGAATATATGTCTTAGAACTATTCTGTTTGCTAGAATTTAATATTAAGTTTTGGCTGGTACTGTAAGTGTTTGCATTTAGGACTCATTATACTAGATAGTTACTTTCCCACTAGAGTCACAGCAGTAGCCTCTTTCTTTGACTTATTTCAGAAAAGATCTCACATTGTTCCCATTCTAGCCTGGCTATAATTTTCCTATTTAAAACTCCTGAGTAACTAGCATTGTAGAAATGCACCACCACTTTAGGGTATTGGTGGAGATAAGGTATCGGTAAAGATAGGTATTGGTAATTTATTACCAGAGTATTGAACTATGGTTTTCAACTCTTCCTCAAGAGTAACTTGAATTAAAAGCATGAAGCATTGTGCCTGGACTCACTCTTATGTATGTATGTATTTATTTATATTGCCTGTCACCAAAGCAGTTTATGAATACAGAGCATCTTGATCACTGTCAATCCTTTCAACATTCTCACCTACCTTTTCTAATCCTCCCCTTCCCTTATCTGAATTTTAAAATATATCGATTTTTTTTACCATTTAACAAAGCAGTTATGTGTACAATGCATCTTTTTCCATTGTGAAAATACCATACAGAGGAATTACAATTACATGAGAAAGGTAATGAGTACATTTCTTATCAAGCATTGTTGCCTCCTCCTTTGTTTCCCCTTCCCATCTCTTCCCATCTCCCTCCCATCCCATCCTCCCCCCAACCTCCTGTGCAAAAGTTGTAAAGTTCGTTGTATTAAGTGAAGTAAGCCAGTCGCAAAGAAACATAGGTCCCATGGTTTCCCTTATTTGCAACAATTAGTATATGTCTGAGACAAGCAAAAATAGTCAGATAAGTTGATGTTAGGTGAAATGAACCCCAAGATAAGGACTCAAATGGTTTTTCTTTCTTGCTGTTGTTTCTAACATATTTATAAGATGATTTCTTTGTTGCTTTGTATGTCCCTCCCCCACAGTATAACACCTGTTTTCACTGTATTTGATGTTGATATAATTTGTAGAGGGGAAGGGAAAAAAATTTAAATAGGGATACAGTGGACCCATTGCAACAATGAGATATACAAGACATTATAATGCATCTTGATCTGTGTTATCACTTCAACATCTTCACCTTCCTTTGATCTGCTTCTTGCCTTGTATCTCTCAGTTTTGTTGTATATACAATAAAGTCTTGCCTACATTCTTCCCACTTCCTCCATTCATTCTTCTACCCCTGTCCTCCTGACCCTACCCTACTGGCTTGCAAGTACCCATTTCCTGGTACTTATTTTGTTGGGCTTTGGCTTAATCTTTTTTTCTTCTTCATGGTAGGGCCTGAACTCTGGGCCTGGGTACTGTCCCTCAGTTTTTCATCTCAAGGTCAGTGCTCTACCACTTGAGCCACAGCACCACTTCTGGCTTTTTCTGCATATGTGGTGCTGAGAAATAGAACCCAGGGCCTCATGCATGCAAGGCAAGCACTCTACCACTGAGACACCTTCCCAGCCCCTGGCCTAATCTTTTTAAAGAATTTCATATTTGCACTCTGCATAGAGCC